ATTTAAAATCGAGAGAAAATTAGCCAATGAAGTCTAAACGACAGTTGTAGAGTACGTTCCCACCTTCGTGTGGATATAAAGAACGTTGAAAACGGAGCTCGCATGCAAAAATTACGAATTTTTAAAGTTGAAGCATGAATTTGCGAAATCTGTTGCGAAGCTGATGACGTGGCACGATCCCAGCCGTCGCTTGCGGCCCACGGTCCTCGATTCAGATTGTGACACGCCACCCTCACCCTACGCCCCGCGTACGAGGTTCGGTACGCCCCGCGTACCTCCGGTCTTATCCGGGTCTTCTTCCGAGTGCGAGCCAGCTGTGCAAAGCTGGCAACCATATCCGGAGCTACTCCCCGCGTAGAGCTTTGAACGCCCAGCATAGCGAGGCCCTCGTGGCTATAAAAGGAGGTTGGGGCTGCCTCCATTTTCACACCAAAATCTCCTTCTCTCTCTATTTTCTTTCTCTCTCTAGCTCCCCAAACTACCCTTAAGCCCTAGTTAAACCCCTTAGCTCCCGAGCAAAGCCCCGAGGCTCCCGGAGTCCCGAGAAAAAGGAGTCTTTCGGTTTCAAAACGCTGCTCCAAATAAAGTTCCGGTTTTCGATAAAATTCGTTGTAAGTGAGCTACGCTTACGCAACTTTTAATATAGCTTTCAAATAATTATAGGAATGTTATTAGGTCCTTAAAATAATTATTTGGGCTATTATTATGAGTTATATTGAGTGTTATTAACGCTCATATAATAATAATAATAGTCAGACTAATTAATTTGTCGCGGTTATCATTAGACTAAACCTTAGTGGTATTGGTACTAGGTTTTATCGAAGGAAATTGTTTTGAGAGTATCGAAGCGCTGTCCGAGTGTTGAGTCACCACCTTTCAAGTGAGTGCATAGTTACTTTCATCTTACACATAGATATGAAGTATTTAATATAAATTACGTGTTGTGAGTGCATAATTACTTTCATCTTACACATAGATATGAAGTATTTTATATAAATTACGTGCTATATGTGCATATTATCTGAGTACTTGTTGTCTATGCTAAATGAACGATTTTATACATGTTTTAAATGATTTAAACTGTATATGTATTTTATATCTACGATAATGTTGGGGTAAACATGGGTAGATATAATAGATGGAATATGAGTTGAATGATGAGTTGAGAGGTGTGAGGGTGAGAGGTGGACGATGTGAGAAGCCTTTTTCCCAAATGATGGCCCCGTCATTCAGCAGAGTATGGATGACAACCACAGACTATTCTAGACAGTCCAGTGGAACACTAGCAGACTCGCAATTTGTAGGTGTTGTGAACGATGTGTTCACTCGGTGTACTCTAAACCTTGGTGATCATGCATACTTGATGCCTAAACCTTGGTGATCATGCAGACTTGATGCCTAAACCCTGGTGATCATGCAGACTTGATGCCTAAACCCTGGCGACTATGCAGACTTAGTGCCCGTTGTGTAAACCATGGCAATGATGGACTTTGTGCCGATTCCTTAGGATAATCCTTAGGAATGAATGAACGAGGAATAGCTGATTCTTAGGGTAGATCCTTAAGAGTAAAGAAGATAATGGGGATGGGTAATTGGGTTTAATTGCTTGATTGTTTAAACATAATAATTATATTATTGTGGGTTGAAAACCCTATGTACTCACCAGGTTTCCCAACCTGACCCACTCAGTTTATTTATATCACAAGTGTGGATATGAAGTCACTTTACACTGAGAGATTTAAAGAGTTGTAGATCACTAGTGTAAATAAATGTAAGTTCTGTTTATGCTTATGTTTCTGTATTAACGATGACATCCCAAACGTTTTGAAATGAATAAAATACGTGTCTTAGAAAATGTTTTTAATAACGTATTTATCATATTTCTCTGGGAACAAATTTCGCAACATTTTTATTAAAAGAAGTACTCTGATTTTTATAAAGCATAAACAAAATCAGTCTTCTCTGGCCGTGAAAATGGGGATGTCACAAGAATGTTGCAGGAGTAGAAGTATGGCAGGGGATCAAAAGTAGTTGTGGCTCGTGAGCAAGAGCACCCAGGTTCATACGACTTTCGTAGCAAGAAAGAGAGGTTTGATTACAACTCTATGTAATCAGGTCAAGAGAAATATAGCAAGCAAGCAGGCTGTTGATCAGAAGAAAGATGCAGCAGCAGGAAATTTTTTTTTTTTTTTTTTTTTTGTATCTTAGCAAGAACCGTGAGCAATAAAGAAAGTAGCACGAAGTAGCAAGAAAAGAAAGGCAAGATATCAAGCAAGAGGGGTTTGTAGCAAGTAGCAAACCTGAAGTCTGTAGCAAGGAGCAGACAATAGCAAGTAGAAAGTTTCATTTGTAGCAAGTAGCAAGCAAGAATGATTGTAGCAAGAAGCAAGAAAGTTTTTGTAACTCGAAGGTTTAGCAAGAGCAAGATTTAAGAACTTTGTGTTCTTAAAGCAAGGAGCAATATTGAATCACAAGGATTCGGTTAGCAAGAGAAATGGGATAAGATCATCAAGATTATGGGGGTGAATGTTGGATAATCTTGATGTGTATGGGTTAATATTTAGTATTTATTTTATTTAGTTTGAATAACGGATAGTAGACTAAGTATTTAGGATACGGACGTGTTATACTTGGTCATTGAATGTGTCCTATTATCTAGGAGTAGTAGCTAGGTTCTAGGTTGTTTTGTTTTACTTCGGATTGGTATGTGCAGGCTATTTAAAGCCATTTATTTTCTGAATATAGAGCAATGAATAACCCACAAAAACTTCTGTCATTCTTCCTATATTTTCCTTCCTGAAAAATCACGCAGTAAAGTGTGTAAACTTGAGGGTCTGTTCTAACATTGATACTTTTTGACATGTATACGACAATCAATTGTGATTTTATGACTACTAACTAGTGATTGTATAACATATTAGTGAATGTGCTTAAACAGTCAACTTATATTTTGTTTATACATGATGTTATATAATTTTTTGTTATATAGTGTTTTGTGTCATGACTCTTATGAGTCGAGTCACAAGTTGGTAACCATGGTCACCGCCACTTGCTGCAACCACCAACAACCATCAAAAAACACCAAGACCCACCTTAGGCCTTGTTTCCCTTTTCCATCTCCGCAAGAACATAAAAAACACACAAGTACCTTCATTACCTTGCCGCCATGGACTTTTCTCTCTCTCTCTCTCTCTCTCTCTTATACTTTCTTTTAATGAAGACCGTTTGGTTCTTGTGATTACAAAATTTTAAACAAAAACAACAATGGAATATATATATAGCTAAATTATAAACATGCTTGCAAAAAGGGAAGAAATTACATATTTTCACCAACTAAGCATGAGAAAACTTAATGATGGCAGAGAATTCCATCACAAAATTCTTATATCATCAATAAATTTGTCCCAAAACATCAAAACATCAACGAGCATTTTGGTGTTTAACGAAAAAATGTACATCAATGTTAAGTTGCAAATAAATTTATTTGCAATATTTAAATAATTAGTGACAATAGAAGTGTTATATTTGTCTTGGGATTCCTTGCCATCACTAATTTCATCCCTAAAAGTTACCAACATGGAAATAGTTTCTAGCAGACGCCATCCATCATTAATCAGTCGATACAACCTTAAACCATATTAACAAACATGGTCTATTGGTTTCCTCTTCTATCCTTGCTCGGACCCTTGGTTTCCTGCTTTAATTAAAGAGTCGAGTTCCTGGCCCTTGGTTTTTCTTCCAACCTTTGAAAAACCTCAAACCATTTTTACTTTTCCACCATCTTTCCTTCCGTAACCATAAGAATCCGTCAACCCATCTATAACATTGACCACTACTAATCGTGTCACCATCTCCACCTCTGCCACACCACACATCCACAACCACAATATGGTTAAGGTAGAGGAACTTGAAGAAGCTATAAGACCTATAGCCTTCATCTTCACCACCGCTTTAAATTATCCACATACACATATACATGAATATGCATATCCACAAACATACATATAATGTACACATACATTCGTGTGTATATATATATATATATATATATATATATATATATATATATATATATATATATATATATATAGGTTCAGGTTCATTTGAGACCATTCTAATTTTGTAAGACCGTGAGACCATATCTAAAAATAATTTTAAAATGCAAAATAAATGGAAAAATCCAAAAAAAAAAATTTAAATATTATTTTCGGAACTTGAATTAACTAAAAAAAATATAAAAAAAATAAAAAAAATTCCGTTTTTTTTTTAAAAATACGTGAAATATTCTAAATAGAATATTACACTGACATATTCTAAAAAAATAATTTTAAAATGCAAAATAAATGGAAAAATCTAAAAATTCTTTTTTTAAATATTATTTTCGGAACTTGAATTAACTAAAAAAATAAAAAAAATTCTATTTTTTTTTGAAAAATACGTGAAATATTCTAAATACAATATTACACTGTACATATTCTAAAAATAATTTTAAAATGCAAAATAAATAGAAAAATCAAAAAATTCTTTTTTTAAATATTATTTTCGGAACATGAATTAACTAAGAAAAATAAAAAAAAAATTAAAAAATGCATCTCACGGTCTCACAAAATATAGGTGGTCTCAAATGAACCTAACCCTATATATATATATATAATATATATATATATATATAATATATATATATATATATATATATATATATATATATATATATATATATATATATATATATGCGTATATACACTTGTACACATATACAAATACATATACGTATTTTTATATGTATGTGATATTTTTGTTTATGTACACATATAAATATACATGACAACAAATAACGGATATAATGATACAACTACTACTATTAATAGTAATGATAAAATAATTGAGAGACGGATTAATTATGGATTTGAGTGTTTTTTAAAGCTTATAGTCAATTAGTCATAGCGTGTTACTAGTTTCTAATAATACTTTTGCTGTTAAAAAGAAAAAAAGTTTTTACACCAATTTCTATAAATACAGTAGTTTGCTCCATAGTTAATTAACTTTAACATATAAAATTATTGAGATTAATTAAAACAACATCCTTTTTTACATAATAATTACACAACGAATAAACATAACATATAAACAAGATGATAGCACATGCAACATATATCCGACACATCCAAAATCACTTATTAAATGCCATCCATATATATTGGTGCGATCTAGATTTTGGTTTATTTAATCCTAGATATGGAGACTTCGATTAATTCTTGAGATGATGAGTCTCTATGTCTTTGGTGACCTTTTTGTAAAATTCCATAAGCGTATCCGGATCAGGAACATCAGGACTTAGCTTCTCATACTCCACAGTCCATGTGACAAGGTTGTTTAAACCATGTGTGTCTACATGAACATGTATAACAAAGGTCTTGTATAATTCCAGGAGATCACCTTCAAGTACCTTGAAGGTGACCGACTTTTTGCCTTCATCGATTTCCTTGATTATTGTTTTTGCAACACGGTCTTTTCCATCTACAACAAAATATCATCCGAAACTTTTACTTCAAGTGTTTATGCATGGACAAAGAAATAAGTGTACCCTGATCTACTACATAAAACATCAAATTTGTAGCCAACAGTTCATCATAAAGAATTTTACCATGAAAATAGTTCCAGAAAAGCACAGAGCCCACGGTTCCAACTTCGCCTTCGTGGCTTTGACAGTTTTGGATGGTAGTTGGGGTTATAGTGGGAACTTCATGGGGATTTGCCTTCCATAACTCGTGAAAAACATCACCGTTGGACTTGATCTTAATTTGTAATATTTTAGTAGTTAGGGCCATATTTCTCTAGAACTTGAATGAGAATTGCTATAGCTCACATCGTTACCATATGCATATCTTATATAGATGTCAACAAATATTATCTATCTACTCATAAGATTTTTTAAAATACTGTTTGATCACGTGATTCTTGTTTGCTTGAATGTCTTAATATTCATTTTTCTATTAAAGATCACGAATAAAACAAATACGTTTGGTTAGGATGTCAATAAGATTTGATTAGGTGGTATATATGATTCGTTAGGTGTATATATATATTATTTTTATTATGAAAAGTCGGAAATTGGAATCCATTATTAATTGATGAATTACAATATTAACTATCTAAAACTGTGGAGCGAAGGGAGGCATATAACTATTTATACGACTGTGTAAGCATAGATATGAGATACACTAACATATATTAATTTTTGATTGAACTTACAACAAACTGTATAGTGAGAAATTTCTCCTTAAAATCAAAGGTCAATCGTACAAAGATTCAAATTAGGACTCTTAAGTCCATCCATTCAACCCGCCATTAACTTTTTGCATCGACTCGAAATCAAACAGAACGAAATAACTACAATAGAATAAAAAACTCTTTGTTCAGCATAAAAAACTTCTCCAACTTTTCTTCAACCTCTCGAAGCATATTTGATGCGTTTATATCAATATCCGAATATCATAATTGTATCCACATTGTACTTTATGATAGCCGTAAAGGCATGATAAATAAACTTAGACTTCATTTGGGGATCCAACAACATGGAAAAGTACATGTAATCGTTGAGCTTAATTATTGAACGATCCCGAATACTTGTCAAATTTCTTCCTCATGTCCACACCATTTAAAATCTCTTTTCCCACTCACTACAAGAAAGTACAGCATTACCGGCGACAGGCGTCGTCGCTAAAAGTGCAGCTTGTCGCCGCTAATACTATTAGCGGCGACATGTCGTCGCTAAAACGTCGACGCTGATATTTTGTCGCTATTAATTAAGCTGTCGCCGCTAATGCGTGGCTGTCGTCACTAAAGACTTGTCGCCGCTAATAAGCTCACGTCGCCGCTAAAGACGTGTCGCCGGGAATAACCTATTGTCGCCACTAAAGGCATCGCCGGTATTGGTGTTTTCTTTTATATATATATATATATATATATATATATATATATATATATATATATATATATATATATATATATATATATATATATATATATATTTCACATTAAAATTTAAAAAAAAAAAAAAAAAACTGGTATGATATTAATTAATCTAATCCTATATCATTCCATTCCAAAATATTAATACAATATCCGTTTAAAATTACTCGTCTGATTTAACATATAACAAAATATCAAAAATACTAGTATAAAATACTTGCACAAATAAAACATAAAAAAATCCTACAACTATCTACTCGTCGTCATCGCTCTCCTCGTTTCCTCCGGTTTCATTTCGTTGTGGCAATGAACGAAACCAATCTTCAAGTGCAGCACTACATTCCGGATCTTTTAACAGTTTTTGAAGCATTTCCAACTACAAATAAAACAACATAGTCTTATAAGTTAAAATAGCATTATAACATTCTATATACAAAATATACATTCCACATATTGTGTATAAAACATTATAACATTGTACTATAACTAACAATTACCAAATTTTGAAACTATTACTAAACTAACAATTACCAAAACATTTTAAACAATTACCAAAATTAAATAGTCATGTCACCTGTGATTGTGGTGGTGGCTGTGTCAGTGGTTGTTCCTGATCGTACATCGACACAACCGTAGAAGGTTTACACCCGATGCCTCTGATATGGCCACGTCGAACACCTAATATTTTTTTCAAAACAATTTTGTGTATCCTTTGGTGTTAGACCGCTGGCTTCAGAAGATGCTTGAGTTTGTTGACTGATCTCAAAGAGTAAAGCATTCTGTATTTTCAAAAAAGAAATAAATATAATAAAAATTAGATTACTAACTACCCTTTGATGATATAATCACTTATATCATAATAAAAATTAACCACTTACGTATTGTTGCTCGACTGCAGGACTACTAAACACCCCTTGGGCGATCAGTATTGGCCTTACGAAATGCTTCGATTCGAGCGATGTCCTATTTAACATTAAAAATTAGATTAATTATAATTTAAATAAACAGTTAAATATATCATAGTTTACTTCTTTGAAACATGCATTGCTATACGAGCACGATCCCCCTCGGTTTACAACTTGTTGTTGTGCACGGACTCCTTTGTTTGACGCCGAACGCTTTAGAAATTCAGGAGTTTGAAAATGCTCGACTGCTTGTGCCCAATTTTCACGTGACATACCATCGGGGGGGGGGGGGGTTGGCTAATGCCCTTGGGATATCTGTAAGCCCCCCGACATTCTCAAAATAAGTATGCACTTTATTTTTTCAGCCTCCATAAATTCTTTGCAAGGTCGCATCACTGCTCTGCAACAACTGAGCACGCTCGGGATCCAAGTTAACCTTGTCTAAATCAAACTTATTCTGCAAATACAAAAAAGTTAGTTAGTTAAATACCAATTAGAACTAAACTTAAAATATTGTCCAAGTTACCTTTAAATGAACCACTGTGGCATTCCTTAAAGCGAGGGAAACATTATCCCAA